TGTCAGCCTAAGCCAGCCCATGATGAAGTGAAGGAAAAAGGCAAGAAAGTCCTTTAACAGAAAAGCTGTTATCAAAAACACCCCACAAGCTCCATTAGAGAAAATTCTCAAGCTCTAGCATTTCTTCTCCCACAGTAATATAGAGAAAATCAAGAGAATTTTCAATTAAATCAGGTAGGTTAAAAGCCATTGGAATAAAATCCAGAAAGATACACTATTACATCAACAAATAAAATGGTAAACAACAAAACCTGGAGTACAGGTATGAAGTTGAAATTAGTTTTATACTAGCCATTATAACAGAGAACTATTAAAAAAAGATTATAAGCATCTTTTTCTAAGATGCAAAGAAGAGTTCCTGGGCATTGCTGCTAATCTGGACATCAATAAACAGCAAAGAAACCCAAGAGGTTGAAGATGTGTATCAGAAAGTGTTTACTCAATTGCTAAGGAAAAAACAAAGACTTGTATGTACTTATTAACTTAACTGCACCAACCTCATAAGTCTATTCCAATCTTTCTCTAAAAAAAAATTCTGACAGCTAGCCCTTGGCACTTAACCCATGTTCAAAACATTCAGAAATTCATTCAGTGGCTAATAAAAGAAAGTGAAGCACAAGACCAGGAAGTGCAGTACTCTTAGCCCTCATCACACTTAGTCACCCAAAGTTAACATCACTAACTTAGGTCTCCCTTATGTCAGTCTCAAAAATGGATCGCAAGTCAGTGATCTCCAGAATGTGTGACAAAGCTGAAATAAAAGCAGACATCCATCCATCCATCCCTTGGGGCACAACCCACCAAATGCATGGACCAGAGTTTCTTGAATACAATATACTATGTACAGCCCAACAGCAGTGCAAAGTTTGGCACCAGGATTCCTTTCAGATTCCTGTTGCTGAAACTGTGTGTAAGACAACGTAAGATTTTGAAAATCAAAGAAGAGCAGAGCAAAAAAATAAATCAGCAATAGCTATCAAAGTGGACAAACACAGATAATGAAACAGTACAAAGCCAAGCACTGAGGACAAAATAGCCATGATTCAGTTAACATTTAAAAACAGGAAGCAAAAATGTTTCTGAAGCCATATGCTTCATTCCATATTACTATATATACATCACCTCAAACCACTAAACAATACAAATGGAGTAGAAACAAATAGTGTGTTTTCCTTCCTCAAAAGCAATCTCAATATGGTCTCTAAAGTATCATCCTACTTCCAGAAACACAAATGAAATGTTCTAGATTAAACCAATGCCAGATGCAATAAAACTGCACAAAGACTTCCTCTCTCTATAGCTAACCATTAAAAATATTCAGGAACATGGTCATAACTAGTGAATTCAAATCCTACAACTTCAACCACAGGGTGGCCTAAAAGACTGAGGTAAGCTTTCTTCCCCCCACACTGAAACAGTTTTAAAAAGTACAATGATTCAAATCTGGAGGTTAACAAAGTATTTGTGTTTTCTTCAATTAATTGTAGATTCACATACTGAATGATTCTGCAAGACCAATTCCATTGAACTTGCATCTTCTACAGCAATAAACTGTATTTCCTGTATGATATAGCAGAAAAACAAAACCATAGAGTTCACGATCGGAGTATTACTTCAGGCAAATCTTAAGTCTCAAGAAAGATCAAAGCTCTCTCAACATGGGAAACATTTCATTGTTTTTAATGCAAAATGCTACACTCAGCCAGGTTAAGGAGTTCTCCAAGCTCACCTGTTGGAAGACTGATTTAAGAAGCCTGAGGAGAGAGCGGGCTAAAAAAGCTTGACAATTTTACTTTCAAAAGAAGCCACAATATTGTGCAGGTTCCACAAAGAAAGCTGGACAAAAAGAAATAGAATTGCAATAGTACTGAGAATAGAAACAACTCCATCCAAGGGAGCTGCACTAAGTTGTTCACATAACCTATTTTACAGGTTTTACAATGTAAAGAAAACATAAGTAAAACAATATGCTCAGCAAAATATTTATGATGTAGTAAAAGCAGGCTGAGCAAGCCATGAGATCTTAGGCATCAGACCATACCACCTTCAAACTGCCTGTCTGTAGTCGCTGTTTACTCCTTGAAGCACTGAGAAGTAATGGGGAGAGAAAGGCTGAGGGTACCACACCCGTGGAAGGCACAGCCTTGCAGGAGCCCCAGGCAGATGGGGAGTTCTAACAGACTCCCAGTGCAGATGGCCAAAATCAAAGAGTGTGGACTTTCATGTTAGAGCAAAACAGACAAACCCTTTGTACAGTTTTTGTAAAATATAAACCTGAAGTAATTGCAAAGGAGGCATTTCACAACCTTTCATCCCAGCTCTCACTTTAATGAATGTAACCTGTTTAGGGAAGTTATATGAAAAACAGTGCAAGTCCAAACTAGGTCTTCTCTGAAACGCAGAGGACCCAGTGGGCTACAAGTAAACAGACTGTTTGAGAAATAAACCTAAAATTCACCAAAAGCTCTAGCAGAAAATATTGCAGTGCACATCAATTCTATTTCCTCAAGCACCTTCCATTCAATAATTCTGAAGTCTACAAATACAACACGATTTCTCTTTTACAAAGGGGACAAGTCACTTGGCTTCTCCTTCAGCAAGCTCACACAAGGCTGTTGCAAAGCACTGAACTCAGGCGTTCCGAGTCCTGCCCCTGTGCTTCAACCAAATAAGAAACAAAGATAAATAAAAAGATTCGTAACAGGTCTGAAATTTTACTCCTAGTCTGTCATGAAGCACCTATTCTAAGTACCGGTACTAAATGTGACTGAAACAGCATGTAAGCATTACTACTAATAGTAAGACTCTCAGTGATGATTATTAATAGAGCATTAACAGTACATGACACATACACCTTTTAAGCACTGCTCACCAGCGTGTTACTCTGCTATGACCAATATCAAGAGGACAACACCAGCAACAAACAAAGTGTACCAAAAATGGCATTTTACAAGGAAATAATCACCAAAAATAAAAGTTCACGGAAGAAATATAAAGCATCAACAATCTACTTCTAGGTTCTAGAACTGCACAGACAAGACTATTTTGTTGGTTTTCCCCCAAGCCTCCTTAGATTTTAGTGGTGAGTCTGTAGCTTCCCTGTCCCCTCAAACAATCAAACCCTTCTGGTAAGTCATGGCACCAGGAGCTTTATGGAGGATGAGCCAAAACAACTGAAACAGTCTGAAGTTCAGAAATGCCATTTTTTTTTAGTATAGACAGTTCTCAAAATCAACACACTGATAAAACTACAAATTGAACAAAGTAGAACAGAGCTTGTCCAATTCCCACTACTGCCCACCTCCAAGACTACCAAGATTATTGAGGTCATAAAACAGAAGCCAGCTCATTTTCAGGAGTCACAAAACATCATTAATTCTGCAAAGTGATTTAGCCTTGCTTGCTTTCAACTTACCTAGTGTAAGGTTAAAAATAAATTCTTTAAACAAGTTAAGTCAAACCACTGCAGAGAGATTAGGTCCAGGTATAAATACTGAGTCAGCCAGGTAGGAATCCAAATCCAGATTCCATTGGAGAATGTGATACAACCAAGGGAATTGCTAAAAGGGCCTGGTAAATATTAAAGAAGCAAAAGCCAGGAGGCTGAGTTGCTGCCATTTTTTGTGAAGGGCTCTGTTTCAATGGCAAGCACTGCTCCCCCTCCCTTCCCTTCCCTCACATCCAGCTCCAATTTCTCTACTTGGAAAAAACCAGCTGCTCTCAGGCGAGGACAGCCCCTCCACTCCCCTTCCACAGCTTTCCTTCACACAGCTCCATAGCAAACCCCGAGTTTCTGTTCCACGAAACATCCTGCTCCTCCGAACACGACCAGGGGTGCTCTGCACATCCACACTCCTGGTGCTAGCACGCTCACAAGAGAGAAGCTTCAAACCAGTCCACCCTGCTCGCAGGTGGCACCCAACAGCACTGCAGACATTCCAGCACAAGCTTTTAAACCTATTCCACATCAGAGAGTTCAGACCCTTGTCATTAGACCCAAACATGCACTAGGTCCTTTCTATATCTAGCTTCTTGCACAGGAATGCCTACCAGCTCACTTCCCTGCTGCAATTTTCTTCAGCAACAGGAGAAAACGCAGAAGAGCGTTCTGTTGTTTTTAAAGGCAACGTAAGTGAGCCCTGCCGTGGCACCCAATTCCAAGCAACCAAACACAGCCGATGGCAAGGAAGGACTAAATTGGAGAAGGTTCATAGAGGGAACGGTTCATTCATTGTCATGTCCTCAAGTAACCCACTCTAGCTGCTGAGATGTTATTGTCTCTAGGGGTGACCCCCACCACCAGCGAGGGAAAGCGGATGAGCAAGACAACATGGAAGCAAAGCCCTGCAAAAGTCATAGATCGATACTTCATCATCCACTTGTTCACTTCTCGAGCTGCCACCTCCCCTCAGCCTGACTCCTGCCGCCAGCCCCACTCCTCCAGCTGGTCCCGCTTTCCTCACATGCCCCGAGCCAGAGGCACCAACCCGCCAGAGGGAAAGCCTCGCTGCAGGAGACCAGCACCTCCAAGATGAGATGAGAACCCCTCCTCCTCGAAGGCGGACGCGGTGCAGGACCCCCTCCCGCGGATGTCAGGGGGTGCACACAGAACCCCCCTCTCCCGGGCCAAGCGGGCACCCCTCTCCAGCCAGGTGGGCGCTGCCCGCACCCGCGGCCCTGCTGAACGGGAGAGGAGGGGGGCGGAGGGGGCGGGGGGGGACAGCGATCTAGGCCAGGGCGAAGCTTCCCCGGGGCGGCCGCCACGGAAAGTAGGGCAAAGCCGCGTCCCCCCGTCCAACCCGCTGGCGGGCGGGCCGGGGCTGGGCGGCCCGGGCGGACACCGACCGACCCGCGGACCGAGGGACCGCCGGGCGGACAAAGCGGGGCCGGGCCCGCGGGGCCTCGGGGGCGGCTGAGGGGGGGAGCGGCCGCGCGCGGGGACCGTTGGCCGGGACGGAGGCGGGTGAGGGGGGCCCGCACGGCCCCCGCGCGCGCGGTACCTGCCCGGTGCGCTCACAAAGCGGCAGCGGCGGCGCCCGCGACCGTCACGTGACCTCCCCCTTCCTCCTCCTCCTCCTCCTCCACGCGCGCGAGGGGTCGTTTTCCCTCCCCACGTGACGTGACGCCACGCAACGCGACGCGCTCGCGCGCAGCCCCGCCCCGCGCCCCTCACGCACCGCTCGCGCGCGCCCATCCACCGGAGCCTTCCTTCCGCCTCTGCCTCCCGCCCCCTCCCGGTGACCACGTGTGCAGCGCGCGCGGGGAAAACCCCGCCCCTTCCTTTCGCCTTCACGTGACTGGGTCCCCGCCCCTCCCTCGGCGCGCGCCGGGCGGGAGGAAGGGGCGGGGCAGCAGCGGAGCCCCTCCCCGGAGGCGCGTGAGGGAAAGCCCGGGGGGCGGGCTGAGGGATCCCCTGAGGGACCCCAGCAAAGGACACCCAGAGGGGCCCTCGGGAGGGGCCGCGGGAATTAACCCACGAGTTCCTGAGGAACCCCTCAAGAGACCCCGTGAGAGCCCATGCGAGGATTCCGCTGAGGAACTCTCTCAGGGACCGCATGAGGGACCCTGTGAGGGACACCGTGTGAGGGACCCCCTGAGAAGTCCCTCTAAGGGATACCATGACGGGGCCCAGTGAGGGACCCGGATGGCTTAGGAACAGGGCATTTTGGAACCAGTTCTGCACTTCCATCAATTTAAACATCTCCTTCTTTTGAGAGAATGGACACAAATGGAGAACTCCAGGACAAAAGATAGCCGCACTACGGGAGGAGAAAGTCAAGTAAAGTACGGTGGGGATTAATGGAGAATAGGGAGGGGATGGCAGAATTGTGTCAGAGAACTTGGTGCAGCTTCTGCCAGTCTAAACAATGACAGGACAGATGGCAAGAAAGGATAGTCAATAAAACTTGACTCCTGGGTTTGGGTTGTGAGTCAGGAGGGGCAAAAAACCAAACCACAAACAAAAATGTTTCTTCCATTTAGGCTTTTTCTTGCTGTGTATTTTTTCCATTGTGTACAGCACCTCTGGTTGCCAAAAATGCAATGGGTCCTAACCTTTTGGGCATCATTGCAAGGCCTGACATATTAAAGCCAGGCTTACTTACCCTGTGTGGAAGCTGGTCTCTGCTTGGTGCAGAGCAGGCAGGGCTGGTGAAGGTGATGTTCAGATTGTTCAGCCCTTGTTGCCACCAGTGATGATGTCCCATGGTCCTTGACCTTTGCTGTGGTCTGATATCCTTTACTGCTCATCCTCTATCCCTTAAGCCCATATTCTCCATGAAAGTAGAAAGGGCATGAAATCTGATTTTACCCTAAACAGTATCTAAAAATTAATTTGTGTTTTTCATGTTTCTGCCTTCTCTGCATGAAGTAGACAGATTTAGCAAGTCTGCATCCTTGACACTTACTGCATAGATGGGCAGGAACTACAACAGATCCTACTGCTGAGGAGCTGCAAGGTCTTCCTATTCTTGTTTTTTCTCAGTAAGATAGAGGGTCCTTTGAACTAAATTGAAATTCAGACCAAACAGTGCACAGGTATTGTTGATTTTTTTCATGCAGCTGTTGATACTCTGTTTTATTACTATAGCAGGGGGACAATTAATTACAGCTGTAAACAAAGTTTCACAAGCTTTGTGACAAACATGTCTGTAGCTCCATAATCTGTGTGGACTTAATCAGTATTGTTAGCATTTTTCCATCATGGCTTGGCAATCCTTTGATAATCAAGATGGAAATTTGGTGTGCAGCAGAAAACAACAAAGGCTAAGAGCTCTTGGGATGCTGTAGTGCCAGCTGAAAGTGTCTCTGAAAATCACACAGAATTCAGCCCAAGAGCATTTGAAATGGGAGAAAACTGAGCACGGATACCAGGATCAAAGTGTTGTAGACTCTTTCTGCTGTACATGGAGTAAATATAAATGAGAAAATGGGCTACTGTACTGAGAAAGCTTCCAGAGGAGAGGTAAAGGAATAATGTGGTGGAGACTTGGGAACAAAGACCTTCACTCCAAATATTGATCAGGAGGAATTTCTTCACTGAAACGTAGTGAAGCATTTGGATGGACTGCCCAGGGAGGTGGTAGGAGTGTTCAAGAAATGACTAGACATGATACTCAGTGCTCTGTTCTAATTGCCAAGTTGCTAATCAGTCACAGGACTCACTTTCAGGTGTCATTTCCAACCTAAAAGATCCTGTAATTCAGTACATCAGACTTGGAGAGAAGACCCTGCAATAAACACTGTCAAGGTTTGACCAGTCCTGGCAGGCAAATTCTGCCTACTGCCTGTGCCAGGATTCTTATATGCTGTTACAAGGATTTGCAACGTCTTCAGTTTTCCAGCCAGTAAATAACAGTCTGGTGCAGGTGCAAATCCAGATAGGCAATTTCAGCTTACTGCAGAATTGTTTTTCTCAGTCACTTTCTGCAGATTTCTGAAATAGGCTGCAGTTCACATACCACAGGCTGGACACCACTGTTCTGATGCTTTGGCGTTCCCCTTCCCTATCATATTTGTGACTGGGGAAAACTGCTTGTATTAAGAATATCTCCCTGTTCCTAGTTCAGGAGTCTGTTCTACTTCTGTGCTGCAATAAAGCCATCTCTTTCAGGCAGTACTATCTTCCCTGTTGCTAATGCTCTCTTCCACTTTCCACACTTCCAACCCTTCCCCCTCAGGCTCATTGGACAATTGGTCTGACTGAACTGAAGTTCGGAGCAGTTTTTTGCTATTTATTCTGAAGTTTTTATTTTCTTTGTGCTCTTTTTTTTTTTTTTTCTTTTTTACATCGCTTGGTCCAATAAAATATTACTCTGCTGCAAACTGGTCTCACAGCCCTGACCCCAATGACACCTCTTCAACAGCACTACCTATTTCCAAAATACATTGCACTAGCCTTGGAAAGTCAACATAATCCAGGTACACAAGCTCTGCAAGGGAGAGGCTCAGTATAAAGAAACCAGTCTTGACTTTGAGCTTTAAGTTTGCAGGGAACCTGTGTAGAAGCCCAGAAGATAATGGGGCTAATCTCAAACACTGATAGCCAGGTGGCTGCAGAGCCAGCCAAGGATTGTTGGTACTAACAGCCAGGGACTGTTAGCAATAACACACCGGGAGAATGAACAGAATGTGGCTGGAGAAGGGGCCACAGGGAGGTAGAGCAGTGTTTTTCTGGGACAAACATCCTTATCCTGGCTCCTGGAGATTAGCACAACACAGCACAGGTGTAGGAATGAGGTCAAGAAGCAGACATGTAGGAGGATATGGAGACCACCAAATACCCTGAAGCCTCCAACCCATTTCCACAGTAACTAAATTACACAGAAATGGAGAAACTTGCCTCCAGGGCAGGGAAACTTATCTATAAAAAGGTACCCCCACAAAACCCTGTGTGTGCACCCCAGGACCCTGAACACTCCATCATCTGCATCAGCAATGGAGCCAGGACTGCTGATCTCTCTCTCTTTTTCCCTTGTTTTCTCCTTCTCTTTAAAACAGCTTGCTCTCTTTCTCTGTTCCCTTTGAGCTCCCTCCTTTATTTTAAACTCACTGCCTTGTGCTTATAGGATGTCAGAGACTAACATAACAGTTTCCATGCAGAGTGTGTAATCTACCAATAGAACTTTGTAAGATTTCGTACACCCTCTGACTTCTGCTGTTTCTTTTGTCCATGAGCATTTGCAAATTTTAGGTACTCCCTTCTCCTGAAGAGTGGGATGCTACAATATGGAATTCTCGCTAGGTACAATGAAACAGTTGAAAATTTTGGTGGCAAAGCAGAGTTTTCTCAAGAGAACTGTTACAAGGATTTTATAACAAGAGATGTTACCTTTGGGCATACCTGGGATTGCTGCTGCATTTAGATGTGGGGTGAAGCTTGTGGGGATGCTGCCAAGAAATGGGATCTAACGTGTTAGATTGTGTTGATATGCCTGCACAAGCAGAGCTTCCACAACAATTGTACTTGAAAGAGTTGCCATTTACATTATGGAAGCAAGCCGTTCTCCTAGAGATACCATTAATGATGGTGATGGCAGGAAGGATAATGATGTCATTGTGTCTAGCCTTCTTAAATCCCAGTCCATTCAATTCCTAACATCCATGGCCTGCGTTAGTCCATCATCCTTGGAATTTGTGTTGGGCTGCTTGATCATTTTTTAGAGACAGTGTGTCCCTGGAGATGACCCTTTTCTCCAGGTGGTCCCTGCAGACCTTGGTCCATGTTTTCTGTGTAGTTTGACTGCATGAAAAAGGTGATACATTTTCATGTGACCAGAATCTGAAAGTGTTCTGCATGATCACCTTAACCCTACTGTTATATTCCATTCTTTCAACCTTTTTCAGAAAACATTTTATCTGAATCTATATTTATTTCCAGATTGTCAAGACAGTTCCACATGTCTGAGGCTGATACTCATCCTGCAAAGCCCTACTTAAACACCTAAGAAGGATGCTAGTGGGGTTACCTGTCTAGTGCATGCCCTTCTAGTGCTGAGTTTGTTCTGTCATGTTCCTTGATTTCATTCTCTGATGTGCCTACCCACTGTTACCTCTACCAGGCAACTGTTTCTAAGAATTAAACAGGCTACTGTTAACAGACTTGTTTTCCATACAACACTGTTGTTTGACATTAGCTGTGTATCTAGCCTTGAATTATCTATTTAGTCCTTTATCAGTTTTCCATTATTTTGTCTGTGACATCAGAAAAAGTAGTCTACAGATGCTTGGTCATTGCTCCCCAAGATTAAATTATCTCCAAGACAGAAGTATCCTTGGCCAGCTCCTAAATAACTTGGTGGGGCAGAGTTGCAGTAGATGATCACTGAAGGTCTTTTAAACATCCTTGTACAGTGTTGCACACTGCCTCTTGCAGCACTTACAGACCATCTGTCTTTACCAGTTGGATTTTAACAAGCCTAGTGGAATCCCAGCCCTCCCTTACTCCAGGTAATACAAAGGTTCCTGTAATGAATGGTAACAAACTAATAGTATTGTAAAGTGGAAGCTGGATGTGCACCATTTGCTGTTTTTTTCCCAAACTTCATCTTAGGATAAATTACAAGCATTTTTATCCTGTGATTTTAGGAGAATGTTTTGAATAGTGGTCCAA